TGGTCCACAATGTTCCCGAACTTTCCAGAACATCCCGGAACATTCTGCAATGTTGTGGAATGCTCTCGAATGTTCTGGACTGTTCTAGAATTTTCTAGAGGGCGAAACTTCCAGCCCTTATATCTTCAACAGCACGCCCTTCGGGTAAAAAATGGGAACGTTCTTCATAGATGGGGGATAGAGGGCTACCACACCATATAACTGCCTTGATCGTATCGGGAATCGTTTCTGAGTTTTAGCGGCAAGCACATTGTACACTTACCGTTATAATATATATATTGATGTTTGATGATTAATTGAATAAAAATGCACTTTAAAATGGTGTTCGTTGATTTTTTTTATATTAATTGAAGACCCAAATAAAACAAATATTTGTGTTTTTCAAATAAATTTTTGTTTGTCTCCATTATCTATATATATAAAATTGCTTGTCCTGACTGACTCATTCACTGACTGATTCATCATCGCCCAGAGCAAACCGCTGGACCTAGACAGGTGAAATTTGGTACACAGTTAGGGTACGTCATGAAAACGCACACTAAGAAGGGACTTTTCGAAATTGTCAAGTGGGGGGAGGGGGAGAGCATTAAGCGTTAACCAGAAAAACGGCTTCTACTGTACTATTTTAGATGCGATTTTTTGTTTTCAACTACGTTTAGTCTTCACTGAGTACTTAGGTGTATTAAATTGATAACATTTCAGACACTGTTATAAATATTTTTATCTATTTCGATTTTAAAAATGCTCGAACCGTTTTAAATTCGAATTTGTTATTGCGTATTGGTTCGATTATAGAACGATTGTAAACGTTCCAGAAAATTGATCAAATAGAAAATAGTTCGTTTGATTCTCGGCAATTCTCTTCAGCGGTAGGTGTTATATAACAATTACTATGGTTATTGAAATATTGAATGTAAATGGGGTTTGCTTGCAAAACCTCCGCGGACGAAGTCGCGGGTAACAGCTAGTAATAAATAAATTTATCTATTTCTAAGTAGAAATTAAAAGTGTCTGTAGAAGTAATTTTTTAAAATATTTTTTTTCGTTATAAAGTTTTAATACCTATTGCTATAATCTAGACATATAAATACTTATACTTGCATATTTAAGGATTGGGTCACAATATTTTTGTAGCCCAGAACTCCACGACTTCTACCAATGTGGCCCAGAAAAACAAAAAGGTTGGACATTCCTGGTTTAAATCTCCCATTTAAAAAGACAAAGGAAATTCCAAACAAACTGTTATAATTTTAATACTTTCTGTAATAACATAAAAATTTTAATCTATCTATATATGATCTAGACGGGTTGATAATGATAATAATAATAATAACAATAATAAGCGCAGAGCGCAAACGGTTAGGAGTTGAAAGTTGAAATTTGGTACACAGTTAGGGTACGTTACGAGAACGCATACCAAGAAGGGATTTTTCGAAATTCCTTTTCACGGGGGGAGAGGGACAGGATTAATGCTTAACACTTCCATTGTTGATGGAAGTGTTAAGTAACAATGGAAGTGTCAACAATGGAAGTATTACGTAACAATGGAATTGTTAAGAGAAAACGACGTGCAAGACGCAGATGCAGTTTTTTTCGTTTTTGCGGGAAATCGAACATATTTTTAGAACCATCTAATTATTCTATAATTAGTCTGGAAACAAGGGGACCCAATTCTTGCATTCTGTGAAAACGGTTAAGGTTGACTGTAACGTAATAATCTTAAATTTCAAATAATATAATAAAACCTACAAGTCTTGACCGAAGAAAACCCAGTGTTGTATAGTTTTGTGCTTTCGATACTTTTCTTGATATAATATTTATTTTTGGCAATTCTGTACAAGTCATTCATTGAAGTTATTCCTGTGTCTATTACCAAATTATAAAATGTTCCATTTACATTTGTCAGTAATGAATATGTTGAGTCAAATTTTCGTAGTACAGGTATACCTCGCCTTACGTCGTTAATTGGTTCCAGGAAAACGACGTAAGTCGAAAAACGACGTAAGTCGAATTTACCTGTCTCCGAATCTACTTATCACTAGGAAAGCATTTTAAATAATATATGGTTAATAAAAATCTATTTTAAGCTTACAAACAAATAAATTTTAGTTTTTAATATAGTACAAAAAAAGTAATCTAAATTTACGAATGCGTGTACTGTAAATACAGTACATACTTGTATATATTTTAATATGATTTTATGTGCTTTAAACGTTTATCTAGTGATATTACGACTTCAATATTTGTGGCGGACAGACGTAAAGTCGAATAAAATGACTTAAACTTGATTTTTATTTTTCCATATACTTTTTTAACAAGCGACGTATAATCGGGAACGACGTAACTCGAAACCGACGTAAGTCGAGGTATGCCTGTATTCCTATATCCATAACCTAAGCATTTAAAATGCATTATTAAAATCATATAGTTATTTGTTTTACATTATAAAGAAATGAATTTTACCATAATTCTATCCGAATCGATAATTGTATGTAATCTATGGGCTATTGTAAACACTGTATAAGATTTGTATTTCTCCCAAATTATTTTCTGTATACAGGAATCAGTGCTGAGTATTTAATAAAAATAAATCATTATTATACATATTATTTCCAGAATAAGTAAGCAGCAAAAAACAATGTTAAAAATTACTTTAAAATATAAGGAAATACCTGTGATGAAAATGCAAAGAAGTATCATATGCATAACGTAAAATAACTATTAAAGATTTTGTAGTTTATAATTTAGCATAAAAAATATGTTAAGTTAGATTAGTAAGACGATTTTGCAAAGTAATTTTTCCGAGAAAGATGTGAAGAAAATACTGAAGAATTTATGATTGGAAGCATATAATATATATATATGTATATATAAATACCACCACTGTATATTTATATTATACACTCCGAATAAGATATTTACATTTCACTTTATACCAATAAAAACCTGTTACCAGATATGAGAGGGCTGAATAAAGCTCATAATTAGTTTTTTATATTTTCTTTCTAACATGTGGGAGATTTAGGACGAAATAAATAAATGTCATTTTTTAAACTAAAAATTTCTTAACTTTTTTTTAAACATTAATCCAAATTTTCATCTTTTTAAATTTTTGATGGGGGAGAACTCTCACATGCTAACTACTCAAAATAATTTCGGAAAGAGCTCCGAATTTGTATAAGATATTTAGGAATGACAAGGACAGCATTAATTAAGAAAGAAAAGCAAAAAGTTAACAGGATTCCTTACGAAAACATGGAATTAGTAATAAAGACAAACTGTATTGGTGTTACTACAAGAAATTTGGGAATCAGGCTGAAGGAGCACAAACATAATGTCAATAAGGGATACAACACCACAGTATTATTTTAGATGGCGCAGGCTGGAGATTCCATAGTGAAATAGGAGGAAGCAGATATTGTTAAGTCCGCGCACTCCCCGACTTTGACAATGAGCTCAGAAATTATTGAAATTTATTAGGGCAAGCTACATCTCTTAATTCAAAGGACGCAGAAAGGCTACCATCTGGTGAAAGTATTTAGTTAAAATATCTTTTAACAGCTCATAAGTTAAGCCTTAATTTTAGCATTCTTCACATTTTTGGTATATTAAATACGATATTATTACATGATATATAACATTACATCTGTTTGTGTTTTTATTTTACTCTTTATATATATATACTAACTGCAAAGACCCGCTTCGCTGGGTTTTTACTTGTGGGCAAAAAAGTAACGATAGTGAAGATTAAGATAATTACATTATAGCCAATCTTACCCGTTTTCACAGAATGCAAGAATTAGGTCCCCCGTTTCCAGACTAATTAGAGAATTTTTACGTNTTGAAGAACAGTTTTATCACAAATGTTTTATACTAGTAAGTTGTAAAACCATTTCTGGCATTGGTCAATGTGCATTAATTGCTTTTGCCGTTTTCTTATTTGCAACATTTGTTATGAAATTGTTGTTCAATGATAAGTCCTTTCGCTGTGTTAATAAAAAATATTTTATTATGAAATTTCCCAAAATATTTTAATCTCGTAAGGAAACTTACATTTGCATGAAATTTATTTTATGATGATCCATTTAATTTTATTAGTTATTAAATTACATTTATACATTACTAGCATTATCTGTAATGTGATCACTGTCGTTTAAATGCTTTAATCGAATTTCAAAACATTTCGTCTGAATGTAATTTATATTTAAAATAATCTTTAGTGAAATATTCGCTGCACAAAAGTACTATTCATTGCAGGCTTCTAGTTCACGCTCATAGCAGCTATCGATTTTTAAAGAACTTTCTACAAAATGGAAAACTATGGAGCCTAATAATGACAATCTATATACGTCTCAGAGGGAACGTTTTCATTAGTATTAATAGTTTCATGTCATCAATATATGTAATCGTAAAATAATGTTTTTATCGTTTATAATTTAGATTTCGCACTTCGCCCATACGTATAAATTATTAGATCTAAATACAGTATTGCAAAACAAACAAACCTTCATGCGATCCTTCCCCCAGCTATTCGTACAGTTAGCTTCCATTCAAAACACATTTTTGAAGTACAGTATTTACATGTAATATATATATATATATATATATATTTTTTTTTTGTTATAATTTTTCCGTTAATTTTGTATTTGAATTTGTTTCATTGTATGTGTATTTGAATTTATATATTGTATTTTTAGAACATCGTTATTTTTTCTAATTTATCCTGAGGATGGTCAATCGATTTGGCCGAAAACGTTAGTTACGTTTTAATAAATTTTTCTCAGCAACTTAAGGTGTTGTAATGCAGTTTATTATTTGCTGAGTCAGTTTCGTTGATTGTTGACTGTAATATATATATTTATATTAAAAAATTCATCTTTTCATACATATTTGTAATATTTTAAACATAATAATAGTATTCTAACTTTTTATCATATCAGTGACAAATCAATCTCCTACTTTACGTCACAAATATACTGTTTATCCTATAGAAACTTCACGGTTGTCTAGACAGAAATAACAGACTGATCTTTGAAATTGCACAACAACTTACTCATATATACATTAGACGAATAATAGCGTAGATGCATATTGTTAAAGAATGGAGAACACGCAGAAAAGTAACCCATTCGATTCAGCTGGTGTTTTTTCTCATTTGTTTTTCTGGTATGTAATATTGTTTTAACTCATTATTAAATGAAAAATTAAGAAATTAAATAACTGCTAAATAATTTTTAACTTACGTATGTTTCTAGAATGTAATTGTTATAAATTGTTATAACGCATAACAATTTATTAATGGACTTGAGTTTTTTACACAATAGTATATACACAAAACTCGTTATGTTTGTATTTCCTATTTGATATTTTTATTGTCACCAAATGGGAGAGTAAACTACATGACGCTCTTCGTACATGATATTTCAAATGTTCTGTATTAATAATAGATTTACAGATATTACACATAAAGCAGAAAGGATTACCTTTAAAATTATTTTTATGTCAAACACATAATATACTGTTTGACAATTGATTATGTTACATTTATTTTAATTGATTAGTCGAAATATAATTATGTGAGATTATTGATTATATTTAAGTTCTTATTTAAGTAATTATACAATAAAAACTTAGAAGTGCAATTAAAAATATAAATCGAGTACCATATTATTGCATAAATATAGAATAACGCATTATTATTCTAGCAATTTTTGAATATGCATGGGTTTTATGATTGGTTTCTATGGAAAAAATCTGCATGAAATCTATTATAAAAAAGTGTATCAAACTTAAAATAACAAATTATTTTAAACCCCTTTTGTAATAACACTCGTTACATGAAATAAAGGTTTATTGATTGATTGATTGATTGATATAAACAAGTCTTTTGTCCCCAATTAAATATAGTTTGGAGCACATTTCGAAATAAATTCAGACTTATTATGCGTAGAAATTAGATAAGAAATGGTATACGTATTATTAAAGTGCTTGCTTCAAATACTTTATATTAGAAACAATAAAGACGTGGAAGAAAAATTTCCCTTAGTATTACGGAATATATCGGAAAATGTTACTGGCAATTACGTTTCTTAAAATATACTTATCCTCATGCGAAAACTAGTTAATTTTTAGAAAAATAATTAGTAATATTAAACTCTTCAATGCAATGAGATAACAAAAAATTTGCACATAATTTCAATCTTTATTATTGGTGTCGTTTAAACTTTCATTTATATTTGTTGAGTTAATATTTTTCTATTCGATGCTTTCTCAACAAATACTAAACTTTTTGCTGAGCTTAAAATTTTGTTTTTTTTACTAACGTTTTCAACCAATTACTATAGACCATCGTCAGGCTTAAAATTCAAAAATAATTGAAATTCAAAATAAATTGAAAGAAGTGTGTATATTAAAATAAATAAATCAAATAAACAAACAAATAAGGCCTGCTGCAAGTTTTGCACAGGGGAATTCTCACTATCGAAATTATTGCTCAGATTACTGGAGTTTGTAAATTGTCTTCCTGTTCAGTAAGGAACAGAATACAAATTTTCAACTGTAGTTAGGACATTAATTATAAAATTCCAACTTCTCCTTCATCATGTAATGCTAGAAAAGTCATTTACTCCATCGGGTGTTCATGCAATACGTCTAGCTTTATACAGTTATAAATGATGTTTACAAAGATATTAGGGTTCAATTTGAAAAAAATTGTAGTTCTATAAAGTCCCACGGTTGTCTGTCTGACCGTCCATCCACGTGTCCTTCCATAATTTCAAGATATTTTAAAGAAAATGATACTAGGTAACAGGAAACAGCATGAACACTAGGTCTATAACTATACACGAACTTGTGATGTAAACCGGAAAATATGTTATTTTGTTCCGACTCATTCCTTAAAAGCAGATAATACATGATCAGCACGACTCCGTTGCTACCGGAAAACTATAATGTACAGGGGAACACACTATAATAATAATATGAGATGAATGGAATATATTTTAAATGAAAGAAATTTAAAAAATGATTAAAAATTGCAGCCCAGCATTGTGACCATATCACAATAAATAACTGTTCGTGAAATTTTTTCTTCCATTTCGAAAGTATATTTTTAATATTAAAAATATTTTAAAAAGTATTAGGAAGATCAATATAGTATGCCTTTTAATGTGTGAGTGACGTTACGTATATTATAGAATTGATCTTGCAAGAACATATTATTTTATGAATCAAACACTGACTTTTATATAAATAATAGTTTCAAATAAATTTCGACCTACATTTTAATCAGATATCATTACTTAGTTTATAATAACTGATTTTTTAATCATTTAATATTAATAATTTTTACATCTACAGTAAATGGCTTTTAACACTTGGATATAGGCTACTTAATGATAATGACTTCATTGTAAATAAATTACGCTGTCGGAATGTCCTTATTCAATGTACCTAACATTTTCAAATATAGGTAATTACAGTTCAAAGTAATGGACTAATTGCTTAATATATATGTAAGTTTGGGCCTATTTATGGACTTTCTTCGGAATAATGCGAATAATAATTTATTTACACCAAAGTTTGACTGAAGTTTTATAACAAAAACTTCATTTCAATTCAAATAAATGGTTTCTAGCTTCTTTTACAAAAAGAGAGTTCCTTGTAATACATGTACTTTTAAAGAGTTTTAGAAAATTTAACTCTTTGGGGTGTATTTTATTTTAAGTACATAAAAAATTTCACGTTTTCATTATATCAGTGTCAAATCTTTCTCTTCAAATGAGAGTTAAATTTTTTATTACAAGCTGATGATACTTCCAGTGATTTATGAAGGTAAATAAAAGAAGAAACCATTTCACATTAAAAAAAACCAAAAAAAAATTCTTATCTAATAGATGTTTAGATTCGACGAATAATACTGTAGATGTTGTATATAAAGTATGTCACATAAATTATGTCATACGCAATGTATTAACGTACAATGGTAAAAAAACAAAAAAGTAATAACCCATTTGATACTAATAGTGTTTTCTATCGTGTATTTTTCTGATATCTACAAGTATATAAACAATTAAATAATGTAAATTTGATGATAAATGACTGATAACATATTTCTAAAATAAGTCCTTTGCTTAGCTTGTAATTTGATTTCAAAAATTGCATAAATATATCGTAATGTATTATATTCGTTTTATAATATATGTAATATATTCGAATGTTGCTTTATTTTTTCTCATCAATAACAAATTAAACTTTAAAACTTTCTATTTACACGATATTTCGTCCAAAAATAATTGCTCGTTTAAAATAGAAATAATTACATATTAAGTGTAGTATATTTTTCTGATATTGTTGACTCATTTAATACTTTATAAATTTCAAATACCTTTATCTCTGATAAACTAAAAGTTTTGTAATTTTACTTTAGTGAAATTACTTTTAATTTTGAAATTTTAATGATCGTAAAATAATAATAATAAATAATTTTATTATAAAACTAGCAGGTAGGCCCAGCGTTGCTCGAGCAAAAGTAACGATAGCGAAGATTAAGATTATTTCGTTATAGTCAATCTTATCCGTTTTCACAGAATGCATCGTTTCCCCCTGTTTCTAGACTAATTACAGAATTTTTAGATGAGTCTAAAATTATGTTTGATTTCCCGCAAAACGAAAAAAATTGCATCTGCGTCTTGTACGTCGCTTTCTCTTAGGAATTCCATTGTTACTTAACACTTTCATAGTCGAAACCTTAATCCTGTTTCTCTCCCCTGGGGGGAATTTCGAAAAATCCCTTCTTAGTGTGCGTTTTCGTGACGTACCCTAACTGTGTACCAAAATTCAACTTTCAACTCCTAACCGTTTGGGCTCTGCGCTTAATATTATTACGTTGGGTTTAATAAGTTATACTCGGTTCACACCGGTGGCTGTGTACTATGCCGGATGTGATTCAAGGCATAGCAACCAAAACAAAACTAAAATTAAATAAGTGTGTCAGTGTCTGTATTAAGGAATTTCCTAACAATATGGCATGTATTCAATATAGTGGTCTTCTGTAGTGTGATGTATGTATTTCTATTCAATTGTAATGTTCCCAGGCTTTTGTGTAGTGTGTGTGGTATCACACCTGTACAGGAGAGAAGGACAGCTACAGTGAGCACCCTATCCATCCTCCACAGATGCCTTATATTTCTGGGCGAGTTCTCTGTACTTGCTAATTTTTTTAATGCATGTGTTTTGTACATTGTGAGTGTTTGGAATGGCTATGTCCATAATGTATGTGATTTTATTGCGTTTGTCAATGAGTGTGATGTCTGGTCTGTTGAGGTAAATTGTTTTATCTGGGATTATGGCTCTGTTGTAGTACATTTTATGCGTGTTGTTTTCGAATACTGTCTGTGGAATGTATTTGTAGTATTGTTCGTGGATGTCTAATAATTTGTATTTGTTTGCAAGCTCTTGGTGTATTATATTTGCTACTTGATATACTAGTTTAGCCCAGGACAACCTAGTTTGGCTTAAATACTTTAGGCTTAAATAGTTTGACGTATGACGAACTGATTTAGAATTACTATTCAAGTATATTAATGGTTAAAATAAAAGTAAACGGAATCAATTAGATGAACAATAGTTATTCAAACATACCTGTCTTATAAAAAACGGTATTGATTAGAAGTGACCCAACACTTGTACAAAACTATAAAATAAAAATAAGCTAATCAGTACTTATCAGTTTGTATCAGCATATTTTAAAGATGTCTCAGCCAATAATCTGTCACGTTCGCAGTTTCCAACAGCTCTGTGAGCTTCATCAATAACATCATACAATTCCTCAGCAGGAATAAAGTATTTTATGTTCTCTTCATTACGGGCACAAAGTTTTTTTTTTAACAGAACCAATGTTTAAAATTGCAAACCTTTTTAATCGTCTTTGATGAAGTAGTGTCTTAATTTGAGCCTTTTCAGCCTCTTCTATTCGTAGGATAAGATCTAAGTATTTATGCTTTGTGAAAACATTAAAACGAGAAGATTTTATATTTTCACTTTGCAAAATTTCTTTAAAAACAGCTCTCTCCATTTTAACTGTTCAACTTGAATACTAGACGATGACTCATCCATAATAACAATATGAAAACAACACAAAACTTTTAAATTAGGTACGTTCAAAA